TGACTTTTTCTATTTTACATTTTCAAAATAAATCTTAAATGCCACATATTATTTTTATACAAAGCACTTTATTCATTAGTTTTTTTCCTCTCAATAAACAGACATAGAAGTGGCAGGGGTAGTCATTTTATTATTAATATTATCTTTCACATAAGATGACAAACTCTGTTGAGATCAGTTAAGTAAGTCTTAGAAAGTCTTGAAAATCTTGGATATGGAGAAATACATGAGCCACTACTGAGAACTTCATTATATTAACACATTCAGGGATATGATGATCTTACATGTGTTTTGACTAGTAATATTAGTGTCTGAATAGATTAAGAACCTACTGTGTGCCCTGCATTATATTTTTCATTCATTATCTCTTTTGTTTATCACAACAAACATAAAGGTAAACACTATTAATATTCCCATTTGCAGATGAGGCAGGGGAGCTACAAATAGTTAAACAATGTGCCTAAACATCACAAAAGTAGGAAGTAATAGATCTGAATTTCTGATTTAAGGTTGATAGATAGTTCCTATCTCTTATAAGATACATTGTGTCTTCAGTCCTGGTTACACAAAGGGGGAAAAAAGGAAGATTGACATCAGCATCAGTTTCTATAGGTGGAATATAATTAATTGGTTAAGTCCACTTTACCTATATTCCAAAATGATCCAAATGTGTTTTCAAATTCTTACTGATACCATCACATCCTTGTATTTAGTGATATTTGTTGATTCAGCGATTGTCTCTTGTTTACTTTCATTCTACTACCCAATTTTCATCTCAGCCAGAGCCTGTTTAAACTGGGGCACTATTTCTTCTCACACCCCAAGGACTACAGGAACTACAAATACATGGAAACAAACACAACACTTTTCCGAACCCAAAGAGAACTTAACTTGAATACTAGCTTCTAGACAAGTTAGATGCTATATTTCTTTCCTTTGCACTTCATGGGCTCTAATACGTGACCATAGACATACCAACTTCTGACTGAAAAGTTGCTGATTGACATGACCAAATGACTGGGTACACAAAGAAGCCAGGTGCACTTTTCCCTTTCTGTTTTAGTAAAATCAGAGCCAAGACTTAGAAAATATTCATGCTTCACCAACATCATGAATGCAGTATTTTTCTTCATTATGAGAAAACACTTTGGTATTGGACATTTTTCAAATTCTCCAAAGAGGATACTCAGCATTGATCATCATTTGGTATGTCCTAGGAACTGACATACTAAACTGAAGATGTAATAAAGTAAAAGCTATTTTTTTTTGGTTATGATTTGTTGTAACTTATAAGGTTCACTGATAACAATGCTCACTAACCACTTGTTAATCCTGTGTCATTAATTCCTTGCAACACAGCACCTCTTGGTCCTTGCCTTCAAGGGTGGCATTGGCACAGGCAGTTCTGTTGAGCCTGTTAGAATATCTGAAATTGCCTCTCTCGGGGGGCACACCTTTGGGTTAAGCCATAGACTCATAAAGACCCATGTGAATCTTGCCTGGATATTATCCAGAGGTGATTGTTACATCAATCATTGCCAGTCCTTAGCACAATACTGGATTATGTTAGGCACGTCTTCATTTTATGAAGAAATGGAGGCTTACAGAGACTGTGCTTTCCCTACAGGCAGAAAAATGTTGCGGACCTGGGAAGAGGAAACTCAATCTCATCATTCTCTTCTAAGCTTTAAGTGTCCTTGTTTCACTCTATTCATTATCCAACCTCTACCCCATGGTATTTTTTCATATAGCCCAAACTCTTTACCCTCTACTTCTTTAGCTGCGCTGACCCTGGAAAGCACCAGTCATGAATTAATCCACCATCTGTCCTTGCTGCCCCTATGTTCAGATTGCACTGCTGCATAAAGCAAAACAACTGTTCAGGTCAAGGCCACCACAGAGCTGCCCCTCAGCCCCAGCTGGGTCCTCTGCATGACCTATCTAATCCTTCTGTCATCTTCCTGAATGGACTACTCAGGTCCCCCTCACCGACCCCTCACTGTCAGGCTACCCCAGTGACCTCAAGTCCTACTTCACCTTGGGCAAAAAGGTAGAAATTAAAGAAATCTTGACATTTTGCTCTTTCTTTCTCTTCTTTAAGGTCAATAATATTAGAAACAACTGTGTTTCCCTAAACATGCAATGAGTAACTCTTGCCATGCAGGTCAATATAGAGCATTCATCCGGGACTTGACGTCCTGGATTTCAATGACAGCTGTGACCATACTGACTTAGTCATATGTTGAATCTGTGAATTCTATCCCTGTATACATATAATTTAAAAGAGAAGGTTATTCAATCATATCTAAAGATATAAATCACTGGGACTCAAAAATTTCTGGGTATGGTAGTAAAGGAGGTCATTTTAAAAGTTGGGTTTTGATAGGCGGTTTTTGTGCATATTAAACAAATCCAGAGTTGTTTACATGAATTCCTGTACTCCCTCAGAATTTAATATCCTGCCATATGCTTAATACCCCACAATAAAGCATTAAGTGTCATTGACGCATGTGGTTGAGGCACGTATTCAACAGAATGTTGTCTACTTTCATATAAAATTTGTAAAATTTGTACAAATTTTACAAATTTTATATGAAAAATTTGTATAATTTGTTTGTAAAATTCTCCTACTTGAGGTTTTGAAATTAAGCTCATCATTGAATGTCTCTCTAGTTGAAATGATGGAGAAAGACAATGTCCTTCCCCTTGTGTTTAAACATTAGAAATCTCAAATTAAACTAAAATAATAAACTATTGTTTGTATGTGTTGTGTATTGAGTTTGTTGAGAAAATTATGTGCAGAGTTAGAAAAGAATCCTCCAATACTCTTCTACTATTAAATTTGTCCATTTATTTCATAAAACATAATTATAAAGATTCCTTGATTTCAATTATGGTAAATGGTGTGGAAAAAAATATGCCACCTAAATAACTTTCTTATATTACCTTTTGCCAAGAATAGAGAAAACAACTATGAGATTATTTTGGTGGAATATTTTCATAACTTAATAGTATTAAGATATAGCATATTATTTTGGTTCTTTTCTATCAATAATTCCATGCACTTCAAAATTTAAAATTTTAAAGGCTGTGTTCTAGATATTACTTAGTCTCAGAGCTGGTGTATATATTAAACGAGTATTTGATCTCCTAGACATAATACTTGGAGCTAAAGTTAATGTTAAACCCATAATAATTTAGATTTTTGCAATAGATGGACTAAGAACAAAATATTGTTTTTATTTTTAAATTTTGAAACCTAACTATAGCAATATATAAAGTGTAAGAAATAAATTTGGAATTGTAAATATGATTACTTTATTTCAAAGCCAGGAGTTTGGACCGTGTTACCTCTATGCTGCAGTACTTTGAAGTTTTCAAAAGAGAAATAGTGTGTATTTGAATTAAGGCTTTATCTGAGAAGTTTAGAAACTGAAAATCCTTTCTTTCTGGAATACATATTAGAAGTTATTCATACAGGGATGTTTGGGATTTTTTTGTTTTATGTACCAAATCCTGATTTGGATCATCAAAATCAATTGTCCTGCTCTTTATAAGACTAGATTTTAGTAAGTTTCAATAGTTACTCATGACACTTTTATGTAACTGCATGGTGTAGAGTCGCACAGATAAGATTTATGGCAATCCATAAGTCCAAACATTTACATGCTACCTTTCCGGACATCCGTTGTACGATCAGGAAGTATTAAAATAATCTGAAGAAGATGCTAAGTCTTTCTGGCTATTATTAGAGACTTGAAAAGATCTAGATTCACTTTTATCTGAAGCTGCCTTAAAATATTCATGGGTAAGTAAGCATTTTAATACATTTGAATATACCATTCTGATCCAGTAAAATGGAAAAAGATAAGCAACAAAACAAAGTAAACATATATAATCAGACCTAGAACAAAGCTATGTCTTATTTTCATGTGGACCTTGACCATAGGGCTCCAAAATTTTTTGGTGAACCACAAAATATAAAGATGTTTCCCATCTTAATGCAGATACTACCTTCATTTATCTACACAATGTAAACTTCTTCAGCTGAAACACAGAACTTTTTTCACTCATTGTCAAACATTTTGTTTGAAAACAGTTTAATATCACTCAATTTACTTTCTCCTCTCTCTCTCTCCTCTCTCTCTCTCTCTCTCTCTCTCTCTCTCTCTCTCTCTCTCTCTTTTCCATCTTTCAATGCAACCCTTAAACACTTGGCAAATCACGAATTTTCCAGTCTCCCTGATTTGAAATACGCTAGTGTCAGTTTCATAATACACTGGCTAGAAACCATATCGCTGTGTACATTCTTGCTACTGAAACAGGTGTTTGTCAGTTTCTTAAGTTGCTTTCCTTTCCCCTGAGGTGGTGTTATTTCCGGTACATTCCAAAGGCTCTGAAAAAACTTTTGTGGGCTCTTGCCAAGCCAAATCATGACTCTGGCCTCAAAGGTATCAAAAACCCATTGTCCTCAGACTGTCATTACATTGTCACTTTGTGTGCCTCTCTTATTTCTGACTTTTAGCAACTAAACTATTTATTAAGAATTTAGTAAACTTAAACTGAAAATGCAAATGAATTTAGTTCAAAGCAAAACACTTTGGGTGTCCAGAATTTGGGTGGATTATATTCCTGGCAAACCTGGTGTGAAAGGTTTTTGTCATCCGTTTAGACCACCCTGAAGTTTAGCAAACATATAAACAAAACAAACGCTGATAGTTTCCAGTCTATCTGCAAATAATTCCCATAGGAGGGAACCTCTGCACCAACTGCTTGGCTAAACTTTTTTATTGCAGAACTTAGGAGGGGGATATCGGTGGAGAGGAGACCATCCACCAATTGCTTATGTATCTAGTTTCCTTTTTCTCTATACATTTCATCCTGACGTCACCAAGTAAAAGTCAAGCCCATCATACTATGAATCAGTGATCACTGAACGCACACACACACACTTGAGAACTGTGACAAAGCAACAAGAGGACAAGATTGCTCAAACCAACCTTTTGGAAGTTTCTCAGTCCCGCTGAAGGCAACCAGGGTGAGAATATGTACCAGTGGAATGTTGACGAGCTCTCTCATGGTTAATCCAGGCTCAAGCAGGAGAAATTTCCTTCTGGACAACGCAAGGAAAATGCCCCACAGTTTACATTTTAAAGCAGAGTTTGTTACACTAGGGTTGTCCGCTAATGACTGTTGGTGTCAGCAGCTCCACGGGCTCTAAGTAGAATCAGGAATTCTCAGTCTTGGCTGTAATGATGGACACGGCCAGCTGGTGAGTATCCACTTAGGCCAGTAATGCAAGTGGAGGGCTGGAGGAACAAGGGAAAGAAAATCCTTTCAGAATCCCTTTTAAGACAGTGGCAGAAGGACAATACCAGATGCCTATTGCAACCATCCCTGTATTCCCTGAGGTATAGACTTTCTGATCTTCTGATTTCAGCCCACCATCTCTCCTGCAAACTGTGACAGGGGGTCTATTTAATTCTGACCACTCTCCATCTCTCACTCCACCCTCCACATCCAATTCATTCAGATTTTAAATAGTCCTTGGATTCTTCCCCTCTTTTTCTTCACATAGTATCATGCTATTCCAATCTCTTTCCCATACATTCATCTTCTCTGATTGACAGTCATAGCATCCTGTATCTTCTCCCTGTCTGTGTCTTATCTTCTCATCTCTTTTCAGACAGCCCTTCCTGCTCAAAAACCTTTGGTGACCTGACATCATATAAAAACATATGTAGGGGCTGAGGTCATGGCTCAGTGGTGGAGCACTTGCCTTACATGTGTGAGGCACTGGGTCCGATTCTCAGCACATATAAGTAAATAAAGGTCCATCAACAATGAAAAATATATATTTTTTAAAAATGTAAATCTCTTTTTTTGTTGTTTCTAAAATTTTTGAGTTAAAATTTTTATTTTTTGGCATTTTTTAATTGATTTTATTTTTTAAAATACATGACAGCAGAATGCATTACAATTCTTATTACACATATAGAGCACAATTTTTCATATATTTATTTGTATATAAAGTATGTACACACTAATTCATGTCTTCATATATGTACTTTGGATAGTGATGTCTATCACATTCCACCATCAATGCTAACCCCCCTCCCACCTCTCAGGTCAGTCACCTTATATCAGAGAAAACATTTGGCATTTGTTTTTTGGGGATTGGCTAACTTCACTTAGCATTATCTTCTCTAACTCCATCCATTTACCTGCAAATGACATGATTTTATTCTCTTTTATTGGTGAGTAATATTTCATTGTATATATATGCCACATTTTTAAAAATCCATTCATCTACTGAGGGGCATCTAAGTTGGTTCCACAGTTTAGCTATTGTGAATTGTGCTGCTATAAACATCGATGTGGCTGTGTCCCTGTAGTATGCTGTTTTTAAGTCCTTTGAGTATAGACCAAGGAGAGGGGTAGCTGAGTCAAATGGTGGTTCCATTCCAAATTTTCCAAGGAATCTCCATACTGCTTTCCAGATTGGCTGCACCAATTTGCAGTCCCAACAGCAATGTATGACTGTGCCTTTTTCCCCACATCCTCACCAACATTTATTGTTGTTAGTCTTCCGAACAGCTGCCATTTTTACTGGAGTGAAATGATATCTCAGAGTAGTTTTGATTTGCATTTCTCTAATTGTGAGAGATGATGAGGAGATTTACCTGAATCTGTGTGCCTTGTTAGCCTTATCCTTTATAATCTGTGCTTATTACAATAGTCAACAGCCTGCTGATGGTGCTGTTCCCAAGCTACCCTAACAACTGGAAGACAGTGATCTTCTCATACTTGTGATAGACTGCACAAGACCACAGCTACCTCCTGCTCTCTCAACTATGAGAACTGTATTCATTGGATCTTCTGGTAGGACATGATCTGGAAAGAAGGTGATGAACCAGTGTTAATGAATGCATGCAAATACAGTGACGATAGACATACTGCAGTTTTCTTCCTCCACTTTAAAAAATGATCAATTTTTTATGATCAAATTAATTCACGCACAGGATATTAAAAAAAACAGTAAACAACATAAGAAAATAATGAAATATTCATCTCACACTGCCCCAGGCTCTCAGTTCCCCTTCCCTGTGCCAGTAATTGCTTATTTTTTTATTACTTTATTTGATCTTCCAGATGTAATATATTCTTATACAAGTGTTGTTGTGAATAAATAACTTGTTTTTACTCAAATTACCACACTGCTATCCAATCTACATTTTCTACCCAGAGATAATCAGAGTTTACAATCTGTCAGGTATACTTCCAGATATTTTCATCAGCATGTATGCACATATATTGGTACATAAAGAAACATATAGTGTTGTTCTGGAGCAAGACTTTCATAAATGGTGTCTTGCATCTGTAGAAAAGTAGATGCTAAGGTAAAATTAGATATGCTAGATATGTTCAGGGTAAGCACTTTTGAAGAATAAAGGGGAAGGGAGTTTATGTAGGAAGTAAGAACATTCAGATTGCAAAACTGGTGTGACCCCTTGAAATAAAAAGGAAAAGAAAAGAATCAGACAGAGCAAGAAGAGACTTCATCTTCAGGACAGCTCTGAGAAAGTCTCCTCCATGCCTTTGAGGAGTCACCAAGCACAGATTACCTGTTGGGGGAGTTCCTAACTGAGCAGAAATGGTGGTGGGGTTCTAATGGCTGGGAGAAGCCAGGGGGAGTGTAGTTTTAGTGTGAACACTGCCAGCTCATTACACACACGCCTTACAATAAGTTCTCATGAAGTCACACCCAAAGGCACACTTCCAAGGATGCCATAACATACTACTGTGAATTTCCTTTTCTACAGAACAATGTGTCTTAGAGATTATGTTAGTCAGTTTTCATTAATCAAATGAAATACCTGAAGCAGGTTACTCTATAAAGAGAAGAGTTTTATTCAGCTCATAGTTTTGGAGGATCAAGGTATGGCATTGGATGGGTTCTTGCTGATAGATCCCCAAGGTGGCACATGGTATCACATGACAAGAAACAGGGAGCAAGCATGCTCATTTCTATCTGTGGTCTTTTCTCCTAAAGCCACCACAATCCAATCATGGGGCCTCCACCCTAATGATCTTATTTAATCCTAGTGATTTTCTAAAGTAGAAAATTACTCATCTCAAAATACCACAGTCAGATAAGGTTTTCACCCTCTTAATACTATTAACATATGACTTTGGGGATTAAGTGCCTACATGAGTTACAGTGAACAAGCCTTATTCAAGCCCTAGCAAAGACTTTGCCATATGCTCTATTGTTTCTATTGTATATTTCTATTCATAGCCTTCCAAGTCATGAATGGATGATGGTATATTTAATTATGTCCTATTGATGAACATTTGGGAGGCCTTCAATGAATAGAAATCACTTTCAATTCTCTGCTATTACAAACAATGGTACATACATATTCCTATAAACATTTATATTTGTTTTTGTTAAAAATTTCTCAGAGAGAGACACTGCTAAGGAACTATGGGATTAAAGGGTTGGCAACTTTTAAGTTATGAATGATTCAGCTAAATTGCACCATACTTGTAATGGCAATGCATAGGAGAACAGATTTCACTCTCATCAACACTTCTTATCTTTGAATTTTTCCATTGAAGTAGAATAAGATGGCATTCCATTGTTGTGATTCACACCTTTCACTGAATACTGTTGGTAATGGAATTTTTCACATATTTGTTACCCTTTCCAGAAAACTTGGAGAATCAAAAGGATGTCTCAGAATTCTATTTTTTTTTAATTTAAATACCTATTATTTCAGTCAGCTTTTGCGTTGCTATGACCAAAATACCTGACAAGAACAACTCAGAGGAGGAAGTTTCCCTGGGGCTCATGGTTTTGGAGTTCATGGTCTGAGGTTCATAGGAGAAGGACTCAGTGGAAGAAAGCTGATCAGCCCCGTGAGAGTCAGGAAGCAGAGGGAAAGGGAAGGGGGATGGGGTTGCAGGAAAGATGGATCCTTCTAGGGCATACCCCAGTGACCTGCCTCCTCCAGCCACGCCCCACCTGCCTTGAGTCACCTCCCAGTCAGTCCATTCAAATAGGATGAACTGATTAGGTCATAGCTATGATAATCTATTCACTTCACCTTTGAATATTCCTGCATTAGCAGGAGATTCTACCGTGACCCCCATGTATCACAACCAAGTGGCATTTACTCCACGTGGGGAAAAGCATCATATGTGGATTATAAAACCCATAACATTAACAGACTAAAGAAGAAGAATCAAATAATAACATAAATAGATTTATTAAAAGTATTTCATAAACTACAACACCCTTCTTAATAAGAAGAGAAGGGGAGGAAGACTGTCCAAAAAAATATTAGGGTAGAGATTAGAAGTATATCCATGATTTAGGTGGCCTATACCTAAAAGGGTTCAAAGGGACTTTTAAATGAAAATGTCCATTGAATGAATGCATACTTACCTTATGCTGAGTATTTAATAACTAACAGGATAAGGCAATGGATCTTAATATCTGGTGAGGGAGTAAATATTAGACCCTTTCACAAATAAGTAACTATTTTGTACTCTGGAGAAGTATACTGTAGTGAGAACTTATGTGAACAATGAATCTGACCTTCTTTAAAGCCTGGGAATGCTTCTCTGAGGAGGTTCCTCTGTGGCTGAGTCCTACAGGGTAAATAAGAGTCGGACAAATGAGGAGAGGGATGGGTGTGGGCCACAACATGTAGTGGGAGAAAGATGTAGAAATGCCGGGGATGTGAAAGAACATGATGATGTGATGGAAATAAAATCATGTCAGAGGGTTCGAAGAATAGATCACAAGGGTTCAACTACAGAGGCAAGAGGAGACACCATTCGGTGTCTTCAATGTCTCAGTGAGAGCTTCATTTTAAGAGCACTGATATACCATGGGAGTGTAGATTGCAAATGAAGCAATAAAAGTGAATAATATAACCTAAGGGGAGAATATTGAAGGAGATGAAAGCCCGATTCCCAACTTAGAGTGAAAATGGAGCATTTAATTACACGTTAGCAGGAACTTCCAAAGGGAAAGGTGTCCTGCTGAGATGGGTCAACTTCTACCCTATATGTCTTAGGCTGCTATGAGGGTCCCAGAAGGAAAGAGATGGCCCACTTACTAGAATGAGGAGATATACAAAGGTATGTGTTTTGAGAAACCACACAATTGGCATAGAACCTGTGAGCCACTAACAGATGATCCTCGCGCTCTCTAGACCTTTGAGTTGAGAAAAGGCAGGGGGGAAAAAAAAAGTTATTGGAACCTAGAGGCAGTGGTGACTGTGTGCAGAGAGCTTTCTAATATGAGATAATGCCTTTGGTTGAGGATTTCAGCTCACTGGAATCTTTGATTTCCTGCAGAATTTTTACCATTCGTCAGACTTAGCAGAAAACTAGAGGACGAGTAAGGTCATTGATAGAGGTCAGTTTCCCAAGGCACAAGGCAGGTGAAGAAACTGGAGGTGGATCTGGAGAACAAATGAAAGGTCACCCCAGCTCGAATCTTTAAGGAGCCTGAGCCTTTCTTGAAGCACAGATGACACATTAAATAAGAGAGAGGCATGCCAGCACTCTAATTTGTTGCCCCATTATTTTCTGAATTATCCATTCAGCGCATCACATCTTTGCTCAGCTCTCTAATTTCTCTCAGACTGACTACACTTCTCCATCACATCACTCCCTTGCCCCTTTAAAGCACATCTTCAATACACCAATGTGTTACAATGGCTTATCCAGACTACGAAACAACCCCTAATTCAGTGCTTCTTTCTGATTTAAGGTATCAGTTTGAAAACTGACCAAGAATCAAGGTAACTGTATGAAAACCGTGTGGAAAATTCTATGATGACTATAGCTCAAAGACCAAAGGTTGTCACATGTGCCTTAATAGTACTTAAGTACTGATTGGGATGTGAGGTGTCCCCCGCCAAAAGCTTGTGCATTATGTGATGTGGAAATGTTCAAAGGTGAAATGATTGTATTATGAGAGCTGTAACCTCATTAGTGGATCAATTCACTTGATAGATTAAAAATTCGAATGGACTGCTGGGTGGGTGGGGACCTTAGGCAGGTGGGGTGTGGCTGGAAGAAGAAAGTCACTGGGGGTCTGGCCTTGGATATTATGCCTTGTCCCTGGCATATCTCTCCCTCTCCCTCTCCCTCTCCCTCTCCCTCCCCCTCCCCC